CAGAAAGTCTCTTCATCTGTAACTCAGTATAAACTGTTTACATCAGCGGCGGAGCGTTACGACCTTTAAGACGTGGTACCAGACGGAGGCGCCACCGCACTCGATGTGGAAGTCTGTGTAGCTGTCTTTGACAAGATGAGACAGTATTTGGTGACCTTCGGCTTCCCGAGCAGAGCGTCGTCAGGCCAGTAGTTTTCTACCCACGACAACCGCCGCACGATCTGCGGACTCTCCACGATACTGTTCATCCTGTCCCAGACAAACAAACAAACAAACAAAAAACACCAAATCAGCACCAGGAGCGTTTTCCCCCCCCCACGCTTTCTTACACGACCTCATGTCCCCCAGCGTCGCCGCGTTACCTCGTGTCAGAGAACTCCAGGTTGATGACGTTTAAGACTTTCTTTCTGTTGGTGCTGTAGTAAAAATCCACAAACTCTTTGAGCTTCATCTTGCTGTCGCTCTGTTTGGTGACATCGACGACGTCCACTCCCACATCGGGACCTGAGACGAGAACAGAGGACACAATGAACATGAAGCTGCCTGTAGTCGTGATACTGGAGACACTGTTTGTAGTGAATGATCTCATGACTGAGCACCAGGCACAGGGAAATGAAAGAACACGTGCGCCCTCTACTGAAACAATACTATAGTTTACATAGAGATGATTTTACAAGTGGGGAAGTCGATGCACCAAAACACAAATATTATATATATAAATATATGATGTAGCTGTTAATATTCTCTGTTTTCTTTTTATGCTCAGGAGAGATTTACAATCACATAAAGGAGCAAAAAAAAAAAACAGAATGAGGAGAAAGAAAGAAAGGAGTAAAGATGGTCACGTTTGTTAATCATAACCTGGAAAGAGAGAGAGAGAGAGAAAAAGGTTGACGTACAGTCAAGCATTAGACAACATCTGCACAATGCATACATAGTGATGATCAAGTTTATATGTTTTATTTTCTATCGTAACAAAGAGACACACAACTGTAGAGGACATGGAAACCGCATGAAGATAAAAAGGGAGCACACACACACACACACACACACACACACACACACACGATGCAAAGTTGTCCCATGGTGTGCTCTTAGGCACGACTGCCTTGTTTGTGCAAAAATAGTGAGCGAGGAGTGTGCAGATGTGTAACGGCGTAAAAGAATCAAACAGTGTGACAGAAGAAACAAAAGGTGCTCAGTGTCAGGGCCCTCATGGAGGTTTAGACTTCTGATGGACTGCGGCTTCTTGCCCGAGGGTAACAGGAGTGCAATCATCGCAGTCATAATTATAGTAGAAGTAGCAGTCAGGGTGACATCACTCGTGGTAGTAGTCATAGTAGTAGAAGGTGGAGTGATTTAGTAAGTAATCACAGCTATAAAAGCTGCAGCAGCATTACTAATAATTATAGTAGATGTAGAATAGAAAGCCTGCTTCGAGTGATAACAGTCAAAGTTGAGTTTTTAGTGGTTTTATGAGTAATATGAGTAAGAATGGTGGATAAGCACCATTACGCATGCCAGTTAATAAACAGGGGAAGTTTTTGTTTAAGGTGTACTAAGCTAGTCTGTACAGTGAATTACAGAAACAATAACACATTGTGTGTTTCTTTACATGTATGTTCACAGTCTTGCTTTTACCTGATGTCATCCTCATATATTCTATAAAATCTTCTGCTTTTCTTCTTCCTTTTTTTTTTTTAAGTTATTCTTTATTAGACAGGACAGTTAAAGAAAAACAGGAAATGTTTGGGAGGAGAGTGTAGGGGGATGGCATGCAGCAAAGGGCAGAGGTCAGATTTGAAGGGACATAGTATCTAAAGTATCTTCTACTTGTCACTGTATCTTTAAATGACTGTTTTTCACTAATACCCTCAATTTTTTATTTCTGTTGCTTTAATCTGCTTTTACTTGTTTTTGTATCATTTACTGTCTATTTATGCTTTTATCTCTTAACTTATTTTTATTTTTTACATTTTCACTGCTCTTAATCTCTTGTCACTATTTCAATCAATCAATCTTCAATCAAGTCCCTTACATTGTTCAGATAGAGCCAATTCTTAACTAATGTTACCTCCAGACGCTTTACAAAAAGAGCAGGTAAAAGACTTTACTCACTGTTATATTTCAAAGACTCAACATGAGCGTAGATCATTGGCAAGAAAGAAAAAAACCTCCTTTTAAGAGGCAGAAATCATGAGGGAAACCAGACTCATGATAAACAGCCATCTGCCAATGTGTATTGCTCCTACTGTTTAAGCATCTCTGTATTTTGTTGCCTTCACTCTTTTTATTCTTCTCATTTTTACCTTTTGACTGCTGTGAATTATATTTTTTTTTTTGCTCTCATCCCTATGAATGTTTCTGTCTCTTTCAGTTGCTCACATCATCACATGGTGTTTCTAGGGTTCTTATGATGTTCTTATCATTATGTTTGGTTAGTTGGTTCTGGTATTTGTTGTTTGGGTTCCTCTGTGGTCAGGGTCTTGTGTTGTCTTTGTCTTTTTGCTGTTGTTTCTGTTCTTATTCATTCTTCTAAAGTTGCCTTCAGTAACAGAGGCCAACAGTAGCAGCAGCAGTTGTAGAAAGAATTAGAAATATTGAGTAACAGAATCAACACTATTATCAGCGTTGAAGCGTGCGCCTTACCGACGTAGTTCTCCACATCACTGATGTAGAAGGTGGGGGCGGGCATGGACATGCCCAGGCCGTCTTTCTTCTGAGCCAGGATCGGCTCATTGAAGCCGTTTTCCTCCAGGTAATCCATGGTCAGCTGACTGCCGCTGAGCTTCACCACTACATCGTCAGCACTACAACACACACACACACACACACACACACACACACACACACACACACACACACACACACACACACATTTTACTGACTGAAGAAATTAAACGTGAAACTATCTGAGAAGCAGATCTTCATAGATTATATGACAGTGCCCTCTAGTGGAGTAATTACTTCAGTGAGGAATTATTAGAGACAAAGGCTGTAATCAAATATCTGGAGGTCTAATCAATATGAGGAGTCATTTCATTTTCTGCTAATTGAGCTTATTCAATATGCTCCTAATGAACCAGTGTTAAGTCGTGTTAAGTCGTTAAATCGAAGTTTGAATGGTCACTGCTTCTCATCTGGTTATATGTGATGGTGACATGTTTACAGGTTCATTATCAAACATAAGAAAATGATTGTTTACCTCGGGAACGTCCGACTGCGAAGCTCCTTTATGAAAACCTGACTGCCGTTCTGAACCGCTTTGATGTCCGTGCTCTGCCCCGTGTCATGTTTGCTCCAGTTCTTTTTTTTATTTTTCACTGAAGGAAAGCAAACAAAGCGTTATCATACAGACGACACTCTGGGAATCATTGAATTTCATATTCAGACAGAAAACAACACATTTTCCTTAAAGGGCAGGTTTTCTCTCACTCTCTGATTTGTTTTTAGAGTTTCATATCACGCCACAGAAAAAAGCTGGGAAGAAGTGAAACTGTCACATTACCGAGGCAGCTGTTTCACTTTTTCTCAAAAAAAAACAAAAAAAAACAAAAAAACATCTCTGTCAGCAAAAGTCAATAAATCTGCCCTGAGGGGGGGGGGGGGGGGGGTTCTTACTGGTGGATTTGCCGTGAGTCTTCTCGCAGTTGGGACAGTGATAGATGTCGATATCTGGAGCGTCATCTTCATCCACCTCCACACAGCTGAAAGCACAAGAGAGAGAGAGAGAAGATTCAGTGATGAGGAATGTCACACTAAAGGATCGGTTATTGAGGTTATGTCAAAGTCTGTGATGACTCTCTGATTAAGATAAATGTCACGTCCGCAGTGTCTCACTGAGACTGAGTGTTCTTCATCAAGATGACACAGTTTATACATTCATTTGACAGCAGGGCTGCATTTATTGGTTTTTATCACTATCAGTTAACCCAGCGATTCCCAAAAGAAAAGTTTAGGAACCACTGACTAAACCCAGCAAATATATTCTCCAATATTTGAAAATAATCAAAAATAAAAATGATTGAAATCTGTGTAAATTGTCCACCAGGCTGAGTTTCTAACGTCACATTTGAGAGTCAGGGAGCAGATCATGTCAAGAGGTGATGACTGAAATATAAATTCAGCTGTTAATTAATTAAAAAAAAGTTTTTCAACTCTTCAGTGAATCTGTATTTCTGAATGAACTCGTATTGCTTCAGCTGTAACTGAAAGTATCAAAATGTTCCCATAAAACACTTCAAAACAAACAAACAATAAAACACTTCAGCGACAAGAAAAACAAGCTGAGGTTTTATATTTAAACTATGGACAGTACAGCAGAGAGCAGCGCAGCACGCACAGCAGACAGCAGGCTATAAATACCGCTCCGAACATGTTGAGATGTTGTTTATTTAGCTCTCTGATTTACAGCGGGGCCCGCGTCTCTCTTCTTTCTACATCTTTCAAAAGCATCAGAAACATTCAAGAACATTTCAGAGACAAACTTTTCTAAATCAAATGTGATAATGAATGCAGGGAATGTCTCCTTTTACTGATTCATGAGCGCAGTGCAGCACAGACAGTAGTGTTTCAGGAGAGAAACGTTAGCATCCGAATGCTAGTGGAGCAGAAAAACAAGAGGCAGCATTGTGAAGAAGAGATGAAGGAACAAACGGAGAGTGGTCGTCTCTCCTCCCGCTGTTTTCAAACAGCAGCTGTCACGCTCTCTGCACAAGCAAATTCCTCCCATTTGGAGCCGCTGCACCCAAACTCAAACGAACTGGGAGTTTCCCAGAATGCTTCCTTTTCTTTTCTTTTTTTCTTCTTTTTTTTTTTCCCCCTGTGTGAACTCCACGGCTTTACTACACCGCCTACTCGCTTTCACTGGAGGCAAACAAATAGAAGAGTGGGTGGGCCTGGAGGAATAGTGGAAATGCCTGTTCATGACATGCAGAACTCAGTGACTTGGAGGGAAACTGAAGTTTGTTGTGAACATTAACACAGGCAGACAAACAGACGCTTCATTGAGCGTGACGTCACCGGCCACTTTTTAATACTCAGAAGCAGAACTCGAGATAAGAAGATAATAAGGAAGACGTGTTATTCCACCAGTGCTATGCCATTACATCTCAAAGTACATGTTCTGGGTTGAGGCCTGTTTTTTTGTTGTTTTTTATAATTTGAAGGCAGGTTTGGTCTTTCAGTCGGGCTTAAAATCTTAACACAGCTCACTTTAAAATAAAGAGCAGCTGTAAAAATGATGTTTGTGTTAAAAACGGGCGGCTGGGGATCAGTGGTAGTCAGCTGTCTCTCAACCGTAAGGTCAAGGGTTCGATCCCCAGTTCCTGCATCTACAAGTCCAATGTGTCCTTGGGCAAGACACTTAACCCCAGATTGTTCCCGCTGCTTTATCGGCACATATAAATGTGTATGAATGGGATTAGTTACTACTGATGGTCTCACTACAGAGCAGCCTCTACCATCAGTGTGTGAATGTGTAGGTGTGACCTGCGGTGTCAGAGCACTTTGAGTAGTCAGAAGACTTTACAAGCTCAAGTCCATTCACCATTCACCACATCTGTGTAGAATGCAGCACACATCTCTGGGTTTTTAACCGTCTTATTTTAAAAGAAAAGGAGGTGTCGCTCTGAAGTTATTCGCAGAGTGCAAAACTTACGAGGACTTCAACAGAAATCTGCTGCTCACTTTCAACCAAAGGTCATGTTACATCCTGCAGGCCTGATTATATCTGGGGGTGGGGGGGGGGCAGTAATACATCAATCTGAGACAATAGAGCCTCAACAGATGAACATGAAGGAACTTCCAAATGTCATGGACAGTAGAAGGATTTATATTTTTATGATGCATGAAGCTAAGATCTCATATAAGGTAATCCTTTATTGATACCCAGTGGAGGGTGGAAGTGTTGCAGCAGTAAAAAAGACAAAAAGAAGAGCATGCATATGAGTGGATAAAATAAGAAAAATATCATGTATGTACAATTATTAATAAGTATAAAGTAAACTATATATGCATTAACTGTCAAACTACACAGGACAGTCAGACATGTTAATAAATGGCAGTCAAGTTAAAGTGACTGTTTATGAGCAAGTGACAATTATCTGATAGAGTATCCCAGGAGAATAACATAATAATACAGTTTATGAGTCAATAAATGTCAGGGATTATGAACAGCAAAGTTGTCATTGTGAGAGCTAGATCATGACTTATTGGTACAAAGATGACCTTGTTTATCTAATGGCACACAGGTACACTCTGAAAAGTTTTTTTTATTCTAAGATCATCACAACAACGCTATAACGTCGAAACGAAAAACAAAATATAGCTGGAGTGAGTTTAATTCTACACATCACATCACAAAGTCTTTCTATGAACAAACTATGGACATGTGACGATGGACGTGAACTAAGAAATGGAACAAAACAATATTTAAAAGGTGCTCCAAAGATGACACAAGTTTTTGTCCAGGTACAAATTCACCACCCACTCAGTACGTCCAAAGTCATTAAATACTAACCAATGAAACGGGCCACATTTAATTGCAAGGGACGCTACCAGCAGGCTGATTAGCTGATTTAGTCCCGCTTCTGAAAAGTCAAACAGCCAATAATATTTCAGGATTTATTTTGGGCGTGGTCACAGGGTTGGCCAACACTTGGCTCCGCTCCTGTGTCCACAGCTTGTTGTAACTATGGCATTATTTTGCTTAGATCGTTGAAAGTCATGCTCCCACAAACAGAGTGGACACCTCTGTTAAGAAGGAGGTGTATTTTGTGATCATTCTACTGAAGTGTGCAGGCTAATAATCCTGGGTTTGTTAATGATGGCTGTAGGGACTTGGGTTGGGAACCAGAGGGGGTCGCCGGCTCGAGTCTCAGTGCAGACAGAAGCATGGAAGTCGATCCGATAGCTGGAGAGGGGGCCAGGTCAGCCCACGAGAACTGCTGAGGTACCCTTGAGCAAGGAACCGAAACCCCAAACATCTCTGGCGCGCTCCCTCTCAGTAACAGAGTGTAAACTACAGTTTTCCCTCATAATTCCCCTCAAAAGTAAGGAGCCGTGTCTATCTTTCTATCATCATGACAGTCCTTAGAGGTGAGTCACAGCCTGCAGTGAAGCAGAAAAATTACAAGAAATTGTTCACATCATGATGGGAGAAGAGGTCTTAAGAGGCATTGAATACGTATTAAATCTGGAATGAGATATTGACGAACAGTATGAAGCTCTTTGCAGAAGAAATGACACCTACAGGACATGATTACCTCCTACAGGACATGGTCACCTCCTACAGGACATGATTACCTCCTACAGGACATGGTCACCTCCTACAGGACATGGTTACCTCCTACAGGACATCCTACAGGACATGGTTACCTCCTACAGGACATGGTTACCTCCTACAGGACATCCTACAGGACATGGTTACCTCCTACAGGACATCCTACAGGACATGGTTACCTCCTACAGGACATGGTTACCTCCTACAGGACATCCTACAGGACATGGTCACCTCCTACAGGACATGGTTACCTCCTACAGGACATCCTACAGGACATGGTTACCTCCTACAGGACATGGTCACCTCCTACAGGACATGATTACCTCCTACAGGACATGGTTACCTCCTACAGGACATGGTTACATCCTACAGGACATGGTTACCTCCTACAGGACATGGTTACCTCCTACAGGACATGGTTACCTCCTACAGGACATGGTTACCTCCTACAGGACATGGTCACCTCCTACAGGACATGATTACCTCCTACAGGACATGGTTACCTCCTACAGGACATGGTTACCTCCTACAGGACATGGTTACCTCCTACAGGACATGATTACCTCCTACAGGACATGATTACCTCCTACAGGACATGGTTACCTCCTACAGGACATGGTTACCTCCTACAGGACATGGTTACCTCATAGTAAGTGTTGGGGTCCTGCTCACCTTGAGGTTCTATTCAGCTATACCAACCAGGCACAGGCTGAATTTAGAGTTTTTACAGAAGCCAGTATAAGACTGTAAATCATGCAAAGCTCCTCTGTAGGTTTCACAGACTGACAAGATGAACGGATCTTAACGTCAAGGACAGAAACGATCTGGATCTGTTGACTATGCTGATACAACGTCTGCATAATCAGTGCAGCTCACTCACATTAGCTAACATGTTGTCTACAACCACATGATTAAGCTTTCATTCAAATATTCACAACATGCGGGCTGATCATCTTTTTTTTCCCTCTGAGAAATAGCCGGCTAAATCCTTCACACACTTGTCCTCAAACTTGGGGCTCACAGCCCGGCATGCACTCGAAGAGAACATCTGTTGTTGTGGAGATTAGAGGTGATCACACTGACACGGAGAACGAGAACAAAAGGTTTAGCAGGATGATACTCAAGTCGCTGCGGCTACACCACCGTCCACCACCTCCTCTAGTTTAATGTTGTCGATTTCGTTTGTTTCATTTAAAGAAACAGACACGCGTCTTTGTGTGATGTCATCAGTTCACCACCACAGTGTTCAGGCACCCATTTTTTATTCAAGAAAAGTTGTTGTATTCAGTTTAGAAAATATAGCATCGAATTGTTTCACTTCTCCAACTTTCAAATGTCACTACCAAAACCCCACAGTGCACCTTTAATCATCCTGATCTCAACATCCATCAAAAATAATGGTGATTATGATTTTTGCCATAATCGACAAACTGTGGATGATCTGTCTTCACCATTTATAATGAGGTTGGCTTTTCCAGGGGCTAACCCTTTATCCCTTGTTTTAGTTTGTTAAGTGGATTGATACAGAGGCTCGAGCAACTTAGTCAGGATAAGAAGTAACTTCTGTAAAATGCAAATGTATTTCTTCAGTGAAACTGTGAAAACAATTAATTAAGGACATGAAAAATGTCTGT